AGACATCTCTTCCGCAACAGCGCCGCGGAGCTCGTGAATTTATTATTTCGAACCGTCGTACATGCCACGTGCACACGTATAGTCGGCTCGGACATCTTTTAACGACTGCGCACCGCGTTTAGGATTTTTCGGAATGCCCGCTTTCAATGCAGCTTCGCTGCTGCGAAATTTATTCGGGTGCAGGATGGTGATCTGTTTTTGGTTATGTCAAGGTTATATTTTTTATTTTTATTATACCGCTGCTGCGAAATTTATTCGTTCCAAAATTATGTGAAGGTTATGTCAAGGTTATATGAAGGTTATGTTGAGGCTATGTTGAGGTTATGTTGAGGTTATGTCAAGTTTATGTCAAGGTTATGTCAAAGTTATGTCAAGGTTGTATTTTTTATTTTTATTATAGCGCTGCTGCGAAATTTATTCGTTCCAAGATGGTGCAGGATGGTGATCTGTTTTTGGTTATGTCAAGGTTATGTCAAGATTATGTGAAGGTTATGTCGAGGTTATATTTTTTATTTTTATTATGCCGCTGCTGCGAAATTTATTCGTTGTAAGATGGTGCAGGATGGTGACCTGTTTCTGGTTATGGTACCGACTCCATTCGTTCGGTAGAAGATGATTATGATAATTATAGTTTTATTTTAATTTTAGTTTAGTGATCATAAATGCGTATCGTTACTGAGTCGACAAAATGTCTGACGAAATTAAGGTGAAAGGTCTTGTTTTATTTTTTAAATGATAATTGTGTTAGTTTTGTAAGACACTACGTTCTGATTATTTCTAGTACTTGGTAGGTTTAGTGTTATTGCGATTACCACCGTATGTGTACTAGCTTTTTATGACGTTTTAAATATTGATCATTTTATCGCGGATTTTTATGTAACGCAGAAATTGTTTGCAGTAAAGAGAAATATAAGTTAAATATGTATTGTGTTTTTTCTTTTGATAAATTTTGTAAGTTAAAAATTATAATAAAAAATATAGTAAAATTTAGTAACTTAACGGTTGGTTGAATGCCTTGAAATGTTTTCGTCATTCTATTTTTGCGTTGAATACATCAATTGATTATTTAAAATGATCTGAGATTGCATTTTACAAATCCTAAAAGAAACAGTTTTGTAAATAAAAGAGTTCAGCAGTTTTGTAAACAAACGAGTTAAGTAATTTTAAAAATAAAAGAATTGAAAATCTTTTAAATATTTCAATGAATTAATACATTATATACATATATATTTACTGTTATATCCGATATGTGTAAATGAAGTTTCCGTATTTAAATAAAATCTTGAGCACGATACTTTTTTAAAAGCTGTGCACAATGCAAATCGCGCTGGGTCGGACCCAACGATTTATCTGACAAATGGTATCCGTATGGACCATTCGTCCGGGGATTAAAGCATTTCCGTTATTCGGACGTATGAATTTTCTGCACACACATTCGTTAAAACTGATACACGTTAAGAGGTAATTTCGTAGGAACAATTCAGGATGAAGAGAAACTTTTTTAAAGGTGCAGTAATGTTTCGAATTTATGAACGCTTTCTACCGTATAACGTTACCTTTTTCAAACGAAATGGTCTGAATTCGTACCACGCGTTTTCGCACAGAGTTGAATACATTTCTCTGGAGAATATTGCGTTGCATGGAAATTCATAGTTATTTCGTTATGAATTAAAATTAAATTGCAAATTTATTGAATATTTGCGATGTAAAATTTAAAACAATATTATCGTCATGGTTCCATCCTTGCTAAATAAATCACAGCAGTGTGGAATTGTCATTCGCTATGACTAGACTGTAGATCTTTAGGCAAAATAAAAATTGTTACAATATAAATCTATATCAATATAAATCTATTTCTTTCCTGAGTGATCTTAAGAAGTTGAGAAGGACAGAATAATTTTACATTTTCATTTTTATATTTCGTTAAAACCAGACTTTGGAGATATAAAAGCAAACAAAAAAAATACTATTAAGTCTACCGGAAAGTTCTGTCCGATAATGTCACTTCAAGTTTCAATCCATACGCACATGTTGATTTGAGACATATATGACTATCTCTCTTTATCGTTGCATTTACACACATGTGCTCTCCTAAATAAACTGAAACAAAGATGTCTCATGTCATTATTATTATAGTCGACGTATTAACCCTTTCGCGTAAAATAACGAGTCAGTCTCATAACGAAGATTTCATATGTAATTTACAACATATGAATGTTATTCATTTCTATTAAATCGAAGCATTCGATTTTTCTATATCACAATGTAAGAACGGAAATAAATATTTAAGATGTATTAGGTCTACCGGAAAGTTCTGTCCGATTGTGTCGCTTCAAGTTTCAATCCATATGCACATGTTGATTTGAGACACATATGACTATCTCTCTTTATCATTGCATTTACGCACATGTACTCTCCTAAATAAACTGAAACAAAGATGTCTCGTATCATTATTAAGCGAGACGCGATCGTGAAAACATGGCTACCGATGATAATGCCAGACCACGTGCTGCTTTGGCGACTCGTCAGAAAATCGCAGAGCTAGGCTGGGAAATTCTGTCGCATCCGCCATACTCCCCAGACCTAGCACCCTCCGATTATCACTTGTTTCTCTCTTTGCAAAACTTTTTACAGGAAAAAAATTCAAAACTGAAGCTGATGTCAAGCAAGCACTAGTCGAGTTCTTCGCCTCTAAAGATAAATCATTTTTTAAAAATGGCATTTACAAGTTGCCATCACGCTGGCAAGAAGTCATAAGCAACGATGGAAAGTATATTCTACAATAAATATTATTAAATGTATGAAAATTGTGTTATATTTCAATTAAAAAACGGACAGAACTTTCCGGTAGACCTAATATAACAGTGTAGTGTATCGATGATAACATCCACCGTAGAGAATTATTTCCTGAAGCTATAGATGACTATCACTATCTCTATAAAAGATCATCGGTTTCATATTTTATTTACATTCCAAGGTCTATTAATTGTAGAATATTGACATCGAGACGCTCTATATGCATCGATATCAGCGAAAATTAATGCACAAGGACGCGCATCGATCTACCGGAGTCCGGACTCAGAATAATTAGAAAAGATACGTCCATATCGTTTTAACGACATGCTGTTTGGCCGGAAATAAAAATGAATGACGCCGACGGAACTGGCGCGGGAAGCCTGCAGGGAGCCTTTTTAAACTCGTAGTTTTCCGAATTGATCCTAGCGATACCCTATCTCCCACACCCTCTTCTGTCTCGTTCATAAATCTCTTTTTCTATCGACAACGGAGTTCTGATTCCATTACGGTAGCATACAACACCGAGATCCGTCGAAAGTGAATCAAAACAGCGGATTCGACTTGCTGTGCTCGGAATTACTTCGAAGCCCTATATACCGCGGCGTCGTCTGTCTTTCCAGGAACGACGAATTAATACGGAGGGAAATTTAAATTACACGGCAACTTTATTCTTTTTCAATTTTTCATTCAACTTAAATTGAATAACTTCTCAAATTAAATTCGAGACGTTCGCGGAGTACACGTACTGTTATCATTCCTCGGGTACTTGACGGAATTGACGCAACGTTATCGCTGCCGCTTTAATTTTACAAACTGTGCGATACGATATCAGTCGGCTAAAAAATGTTTCTCGTTCCGAGCTCGGTGCGATAACGAGAAAGCGCTGCGTATAATATCTGCAATTACACGGTTTTACCCGAAACAATGGAAAACGAGATCGCTAGCAAAATCAACGTACAAGGTGTCCGAAATTATGGTACTTCCGAGAAATGAGGGGTTCCTGAGGCCATTTGAAATAACTTTTTCCTTAGCGAAAATGCAATCCGCGGCTCTGTTTACGAGTTATTAACGAAAAGCACTGACCAATGAGAAGCGAGCTTGGCTGGCGCGAAGCGGCCGAGCCAATGAGCGGAATTGGTCACTGTCTGCTTCGCGTCTGCCGAGCTCGCTTCTCATTGGTCACTGTTTTTCGTTAATAACTCGTTAACGGTGCCTCGGAGGAAGTTTTTATAAAGAAAAAAGTTACTTCAAATGACCTCGGGAACCCCTAATTTCCCGGAAGAAACATAATTTTGGGACATCCAATATGTCTAATGTTATCCAGCATTCATTCTATCATTAATAGGATCAACAGGAACAATTTTTTAGCATAATGGTACATAATGCTACTTTAGCTATCTTCACTGCGAGGCATTACATTGTGGTTAATTTGAAATTTTACAATTTAAAGACATCTATCTTGCAACATAAGCAGACAGAAAACATGTTAGAGTTAGTCAATCAAAGTATAACTGTCAATCCTGCATGTAAAACTAAAAAATATGGAACAAGAATTTGTGAACGAGTGCATCAGCTGTCTTTTTCAAACTCCAATTTAATTTGATGAATGATTTTTAAGAGAAAAAAATGGAACTTATAACCCATTGTCGTAAAATCAAGGATGGACAAATGACAGAAGATACAATTACCAAGCAAGCTAAACTCGAGACCTCCCTAATTCCGCGTACTGCGTGATAATTACGCGGATAATTATGCACTTACTAAGAATGTGTAGCTGAAACATAAAATTACACAGACATCAGAAGAATCGAATAATATTGTTACACTATTATCAAGTTATCAAAATTATTAAAAAAAGCAACTTATTTTTATTTAATTTCTATTTCTTAGAATCGTCTTAGAAAACGTTTACTTTGCATAAAGATCGACGGTCAACCGATGATTCGCTTCACCAAAATGTCTGGTAATTGGCGTGAAAAAGTGATCGATCATGGATTACGTAAAAGTGAAACGAAAGGGCAGAGAGCTGTTGATCTTAATCTGAACGAAGTCTGCGGGCAGATCGCGTTCCCTGTATCGTCTCGCTGGGCTAGAAGGGCTTTGACAGGAAACATTCGACGGCCCCTCTCGAAAGCCCCGCACGAGCTCGCCCTCGGAACTATCGTTAGCGGTGGCGTAACGGTGGCGTTTCTTTTTTGTTTCAGGTTGACGAGGCAGAAATGGCACGAGCGGAGTCACGGTGAGAAAAGGGCGAGGGTGAAGCCCTCGCGCGAACCGGCAGCCATGGCGGAAAGCTTCGGTTTCTTCGCCGGGGGGGCGATACCTGCCGTCCGTCTTTCGCTTTTTCTCGCTCTGGCCGGCACCACGCGCGCCGTAGACCTCTGTAAGTATACCTAAGCTGTAATCTGCCGGGGCTTTATAGTTTTCATCGCGGAAACTTCCTCTTATAACTTATTAACGTCCGGCAGAGCGCGCGCGCGCGCGACCGCCGCGAACTGCTTGACCGCGACCGACGAACTTTCGATCCGAAATTGACTTTGGCCCCGCACGGAAAAGCTGGATTTACCGTGGCCCCCCGCTCTCCCGCAGCTCTCCTTCGCGTCGTCAAATTGGAAACTTTTAGCGGAAAGTTGTATTTAAACAACGTTTCACGGCGGAGAACGCGGGGACGAACGACGGAGCATGCGAACTCGTAATACGCTCGAGTAATACCCGGGTTCGTAGCTACGTGCATCGACGACGACGACGTACGGTTTTGTTTGATAGAAATTACTTTGCGGTGATCGACAAACTTCCAATGTAAAATTGAATCGGCTCGTTCTATGGCGGTCGCTCCGAACGTCTGCGGTGGATTGGGACCGGTGGCGCGTTTCAAAGTGTCTCACAACTCGCCGTCCTATATTTTGCGAATAAAGTGTCCAATACTAGTTACTCGAGTTTGTTAATATATTAGATTGTTCAGGATAGATATATTACATAGATATATAGCTATATATATATATAGGTATATACATATATTAATATATATTAGATTATTCTTTAGCAATCACTTCATTTAGCATTTTACCATTAAGTAGCATTTCTACTGAAAGATGGCAAAATGTTCTGAAACAAAATGGTCGATACGTTCTCGAATAAAATTTAACCTTTTGCGCTCGGAACAGATTTTGCGAACATTGGGATTTCGTTATACAGAGCCGAATTGAATGAAAAATCATTATGCTGCTCGAATATTTTTATAGGAACTGACAAATAAAAGATTTTATGTTTTTAATTATGCAGTTTACGTGTTCAGTTTACAGTATGAAGAAAAATAATAATTAAAAGGAGATGCCACTTTGACATGAATATATTGTTTAAGGTATTCGTCTTGTAAACGATTTAAACATGATATACCGAGAATCAGCTATGTGTGCATAAAATCCAATGTATTGGTAAACGCATTATCCATAAAATTTCGGAGACTTTTATTCGTGTATTTGCAAGTTGCCCATCGATTCCCAATGCCGTTGGAAGACAGAGGAAGAGAGACGTTCAAAGCGGATAGAAAATTCCCTGTTGCAACAAAGAAGATTGGTTTACCCGTCTCGGGACAAGGGCGCCGGAATTTAATGGGTCAATAAACGTCCGAGTAAATTTCCCTCGTTGGACGTCTCGCAAGCTATTCTCATCGAACGTTTGACCGATGATCGGTCCTCAACCCGTACGAAAAACCGGTGTGCATCGATTTGCATGTCGGAGTGGCTTAGTCAGCATCCACCGAGCCCGTTAGTTTCGCTAAACGATCTGTCGCCGTCAGCCGCGTTACTTTTCGATGTAACGAGTTCACTCGTCAGAAGTATCGGAATTGTTTGGAGACCTCAGTGAACGACAAACGACCCGTACCTCGAAATCCAATTCCGGATCGTCGGCGCCCGATTGCAAAAGTTTCCCGTAAAATTGAAATGAAATGTCTGCTATCCATTCCCGCGCCGGATCGTCCCATAAATTCTTGTCGATTCGCGAATCCGTATTCGGGTCAATGTTTAATAACGATCTTTATACTCTGCCAAGAAAAGTACTAAACTCTCTTTATCTCCTATTTGTTGCTGGAAATTTTGTATCATCTTTTACGTTCACGTTCGAACGTTTCTTTACAAATGTTCGCTCTTTGTTCGCTGATCTTCTTTGAGTAGAGTCATGAAAATGATAATTGGACGCGTTTCTTCAATAATCGTCTTTTTTATATACGATAGACATTAAACGTCAGTTTGTTGAGTGATATCTTAATATTTCATTGAACTTAGAAATAGTGTGTAAAAATTAAGAATTTAATAGAATTATCGAAACGTTAAACGAAACTGAGGTATTCTATCAGATGTTAGTAAAAAGAATTGCATTTGTAATTTTATTACAGAATCACGATAAAAATTGGATTCAATTCTCAAGTCATTTAAGAAATGTATGCAATTTTGAAAAAGTTTGATATCAATCTACTTAACAATTGTTATATCAATATAATATCAATATCATAATATATATAATACAATATCAATATTGTTATATAATATAATATGAATCTACAAACAATAACAGTTCTTTCAAATAATGAACCAAAGTTTAGAGGTTTATGTTAATTTTCTGGTGTAAGCATTATCGAATCTATAATTTTCTCCTTCTTCTATTGCAGCTTCATGCAACTAGTTCTGAACAGCGTAATACAAATATAGTAATAATTAATAGAATTCGATGCAAAGATAAATATTCCCGCAAAATCTTGCGTGCTCGCTGCCAGGAGAACCTCCAAAGAGAAGAATGATTCCACCTGTTATTGTTTCGTACGCGAAGAATTCGTAAATGAAGGTATTAAAATAATAAAACCATTAGTCACTTCTGGTCGAGCGATAACAGCGGTTGAATCCTCATCGATCATTCTCAAAGGCGCGCGACGTAGAAGAAATCGGCAGCCGAGAGAGAACCATCGTCGCCATAACTTCAGCCGGGTTGACCGTTCGTTCATTGAAAACGGTTTTTCATTAAAGAAATGGAAACGCTATCGTCCCGCTATATCAAATAGCTCCTCCTAATTGCGATATAAATTTCCTGGGCTCGGCGTGTCGGCGGAAGAAGTGTCCCCGTTTCGTTCGCCATTCATCGCGGCGTCAATAGAGCAGAAGTAATTAATGATGTTTTTCTTCGAGCGAGGCGTAACTCGGCCGGAAAGGGTGGCTTTGCTGAAAGAGAGACGCCGAACGCCGTGATTGCCGGCGATGACGCGCGACGACGAGCGCCTTATGGTTGCACCTAGGCCCTCGATTGAACGACGCGGGGTCGCGCGCGCCTCTCCTCGACAAGGAGATCGGAGAGCGTCGGTTTTCCGCGCCTCCGAACCGTTATTCAGGATCGATTTACGAGCGCGATATCTCACCGGTGGCTCGTTAGGTCGGACGTGCCGACAAAGGAAACGGATTCTGCCGGAGAACGAGCCAAGTTTACCCCGCGCCGGGGTCCGAGAAGTTGCACGGAAGGGTCGTGAGAATTCCGGGGGTGCGAGACGCCGCGCGCGATATATTCAGGCTTCATTAATAATAATAGCACGCCATGTTTGAGTCTCGAGCGATCCCTTTGTCTTCCCCTCGAGTCCCGCATCGTTCGCCGCCGATTTTTACCGATACCCTTCCGCCGCGGAATTTATCATCCTCCCACGTGTTATCGATCATTGAAATTCGCACCGGGCGAATCGAGAGCCGCAGCCGAGCAGTTAATGATTTCGGATGAGAAAGCAAATCATCTGCGGCGCTTGTTTATCGAACTGTTTTTAGAAGAATGCCCGGTGCGGTCACAGTCGAGGGTATTGACCGTTCTCCATCGATCACATTGTGTTCCGGCTATCGATTCGCATCTGACTACTGTGAAAAATAAATAACATGGTATAAGCTGCGGTACAATTGCATCTAGCAAGTCGGTGCCGGAGAACCAAACAAGATTTAAACGCCATTCATTTCGTTCCTAGTGTTGAGGTTCTCGAATGTGAATCGTGTCCTTTCGGAAGAATTGTCCAAGCGGAGCTTTCTGATATAAATGCAATTTGATGCAGCATAACCCAAGGGGTACAGTGTTAAAAAATTAGGATCTCGAGGGTCTGTTGAATAAATCTCCCGATGTTCTAACAATTTAAAAACCTTGACGAACTGTAATACGGACAGCATAACCCAAGGCACAGTGTTACAAAATTAGAATCTCGAGGGACTGTTGAATAAATCTCCCGATGTTCTAACAATTTGAAAACCTTGACGAACTGTAATACAGATAGCATAACCCAAGGCACAGTGTTACAAAATTAGGATCTCGAGGGACTGTTGAATAAATCTCCTGATGTTCTAACAATTTAAAAACCTTGACGAACCGTAATACGGACAACTCAACAGGACTCAAATAGGACAACTCAAGTTTCTGTTTTTTCCGTTTCGGGATAGCTTGCGTCAATTTCGTGAAAGACAAACACGTTCAGCACGGAGCTAAATGGTACGACATCTCGTGTACCATTCCGTATTAGTCGAATTGTGCAGCAAATTGCCCCATTCCCCTGTCCGAAGCATAGACCGATGTTCTTCCCAGGACAAATTCGCAGTCCGTAGGAATTTCATCTTACGATGATAACGTTCCTCGCTCGAAATCCACCGGCAGAATTACGACGGCGGATTCGTCCAAGAATGGTACAAACTTTTACTGATATTAATGGCTACCTACATGCCCATTCTGTTTCTCGATGGCTTAGCAGGGATTCCTTCCGTTATAAGCTCGAATTCCCTGCCATTAATTCTCGCCGAGTCTCTGGCTACTCGAGGCACAAGCCTGCAACCTCCCATCACGGTGTTCCGGTACACCTGCACTCGATATCCGGCATTAGGTGCTATCGTTATTTGCCGTGTATTTCCACCGCTCTGTCGAAACGATGCACCGGCGAATTTTACCGATCCGCGTTTTAGTTGGTAATAGAACTCCGATATGCATAAATTGCAATCGACACGGCCGGACCGGCGGACCGTTCCGCCTCGACCGCACTCGCCACCGTCGATAATCGAACCGTTCTCGTAGGCGAACCGAACGACCTCGAGAATTCAATGTATTCTTCATTGGACGGGCTCGAAATAATGTAAACCCTGTTGCGTGCACCTCGGCCGGCCGGCAATGAGAAACTGCCGTTAATGGGTATCTCGGTGTTGACGGCCGAAAGCTAATGCGAATTTGGGAATTCGTTGCGGCGGAACTAGAAAACTATTTCAATTTCATATTTCACAGATATCGCTCGTTAATCATTACCGAATACGAGTAAATTTTTGCATGCAAGCGGAGGGACTTTAGCCAAAGTTATGCTAGTTTCACCGCTCCAGCCTAGATTGAAAAATTGCCAGTGGATGTTTCAGATAATGTCACTTTGGGGATTTATGAAAATCTTAGTAGTGATGACATCATCAATTTAAAGTTTGACACGTAACTATTCGTTAAAAAGTTCGGTACAAGATTGTTTCACATGCAGACAGAAATTTTATTTAAAGTTGTGCTAGTTGACTGGACGGATTTGCAATGGAACTATACAGGATGTCTTAGAAACATACGTCAATACTTGAGAAACTGAATCTATAAACTAAAATAATTAAAAAATATCCTACGAACAAGCGTCCTTCGTATCTTACTTTTGATAATATAAGTGAAATGAGAAAATGTTTAAGAACTGTCCGTCATATATTGGGTTGTCAATCAGTTATAGATGTCTCTCACTCCCATTTTGATGATATTCGTAAATGTTATATTATAAAATTATTATTATTATTATGCTATTTTTTATTTTCCGCAAATGTTCGGTTTCCAGCTGGAAAATGTGCATTTAATGTGCATATCTAAACGTATTTTTACATCAACTATACAATGCAATAAAAAAATATACGACTGTACGCGAAAGAAATCATCTATAACCTCGTAAACTTCGAAAAAGATGACCTCGGAGAGAAATATTTTTGCAATATAACGATTTCTTCGAACCATTCGAATAGCATGCAAAATATTTGTTGCACCGCCAAAATTAGAGGACATATTTAGGTGGCCTTATTTAGGCGGAACACCCTGTATAAACGAGATATTTCGTGATCACCGATTTTTAGTTTAAGCAAGAACAGGCAGATTAACGATTACATGATTATGCAAAAAGCAGCATGTATAATTTTGCGGTCGTTCATTGGCTAACGGTTCGCTGTTAACTTATTCCTTCTGACTCGCCGATCGATGTTCATTTTGATGATAGGATTATAAGGGAGTAAGACGATTATATACGATCATACGAGGAAGCGCGATTATAGACAGCGAATAGTATATTCCTTCCATCGAATTCGTGCTTATAGACTGATTTAATTCATCGGAAATTCGCTGCAACCTCCGGGTAAATATGGAAACCGCGTTTTAATTTAAAATCGTTCGATTATTCGATAATTTATGTACCCTCCTAGTTCCAAATTATCAAAGACTTTGATCATTTTATTTTCTTCTCTCCCTTGATCGTCACTGTCGCTAATTTCAACCAAAATTTGATCATCAATACTACTTCATCTATCATACTAATTTATATCGATAGCATAACATCTAAATTTAATTAACAGATCGGCGTTTCACGCGTGATCATTAAAGAGCGAATACAAAATTCAAAATCGCGGGCATAATGGTGAAATTAGCAACGTTTAATTTATACGAATACCAATCTATAACATAATAACGAGCAATGATTAATAATTTAACGCGTAATTGAATGGTTCGCTACATGAAACTGCAAGGCTGTTCACACTATCGTATCCAGCGCGCCGAGTCGAATCTCGGCTGTTTTGTAGAAGCGACGGGCAAGTCCTGATCCCGGCGATCGGCATACCATAAGCGCCCAGCACCGCGTCGCAGTATCCGAGGAACTCGGTCCGGTGAACCGTGGGCCGAGGTGTTTCGAACTTTCCGCGATGTGACGACGCGTGACGGGAACAAAA